CCACCATTGTTGCCGCTATCTTATCATCACCATCACTGTCTCACCGTCACTTACATCAGTACCAGCACCAGCATCAGCATTACTATCGCCGTCGCCACACCTCTGCCACAACAACCACTACCACTATCGCCACCACCACCCTGCCACAACAACCATCAACACTGTCGCCACCCCACCACCATCACCACACCCACTGCCCCCACCACCACCATTACCACTACTACCCACCTCCATCGCCCCATCATCATCACTGCCGCCACCCTACCACCACCACCACCACCACCCCCCAGCGCCCTACCACCACCATCACTACCACCCCTCCAGCACCTCTTCCACAACATGCACCGCCATCGCCCACCACCATCGTTGTTGCCACCCCCACCATCACCATGCTCACTATAACCATCCCCACCACCACCATTGTCACTATCCCACCATCACTCTTACTACCACCGTCACTGTCCCATCATCACCCCTTACCACCACCACCACCATTGTCACTCACGACTGTCACCATTACAATTGGTCGTTGTCACCCCTTACAACCATCATTGTCTCCTATTATCATCACTTGTCCCTATTACAATCGATATTTAAATTTATTTTTCTCTCATTTATCTTCATAATTTGATTTTAGGTGTGAATACGAATATATTTATTATTAATTATTTTTTTATTACTCTGTATTTTTAAGTACAGGAAATAACAAATATATATACAGATGAACAATAAAGTTGTTGCTCACAAGGAAAAAAGGAAAACAAAATGATTCCTTGTGAGCAATTAAATATATACTCGTTTAGCCATGTACCCTATTATGTGGTCATGCATACAGAATGGTAATGGTCACGTTCTTCTAGGACGGTCAGTCAGAGGGGAGGGTTGTGTTATATGTCTAACCTAAGGAGGTCTAATTGTTATATGAATAAACCTCTAGGGAGGTAGATGTAATTTACCCTTCATTTAATGAATAATTACATTATCACCCCCTCAAGGTTTTGATTATGTTAAAATGACCCTTTTTATCTGTGAAATTATTATACAAAGCCACCCACTGGTTTCAATGGTTTCAAGGTTCCTCCAATATGTTTTTCCCCTAAATTTTTCTCATTGAGTTTCCCTTAAACTTCATATAAAAATGCACACAATTTTCACCTAGTGGGAAGTGGTATTTTTCTGATCCAAACCTACAAAGTGACTAAATTTTGTTTTTTTATTATGTTTAGTTGTGTCTGACCACCTTATATTTATCTCAATTGATCTCCTCTTCGATTCGATCAAAAATAGATCATCTATATCAAGAGTAGAGTGCTGAATCAAATTTGTACTTGATTGTAATGGTCTTGAATTCTACGTTCGATATTTTTTGTTTTTTTTTTTGTTTCCAAGCATATGGTTCTATCTGTTAAAACAAGTGTGCTACATGGACTTAACTCATTCATTTAATTTAATTTAATTATTGTTTGTGGATTAATAACAAAAAGTCAAACTTAATAATAGCAATTCAACAAAAACAATGGCTTAGATTACGAAATTTTGGTTAGGTACCAAAGTGAGCCATCTTTGACTCATCGTCATGCAAAGATTAGAAGAAGCTGGAACTTCTCTGGACCCACAGTGACGAAGTTGCGCCAACGCGTGCCACGTTTGCTATGGGCTAGTGCCACAAATTCCATAAATATGTAACTTTATACGAGATATCTGAAAGTACGATAAAATATAAAATTTGAATTCTAAAAAATTGATTTTACTATAATAAATAATATATTTTTTTATTTTTTTAATTACATCATTCAAAATTTATTTTTATCCATTATTTTTTTAAAAATATTAACAATTTTTTTTTAAATACTTAATTAGATAAAATTTTCTCAACATATACATACTATCATATATGGATAATATATGAAATAAAAATTATATTAAATTATAAATTAATCAAATATTAAATAATTAAACATATGATAGAAATAAGTGATGTGATGATTTTAAGAAAAAAAATATATAAGGGATAAAATTTAATTTTTTTTATGTGTTTTATTATATAAATGTGAACTCGTTGAGGTCAAACTTATGACTAAATTAAACTTAACACAAATTTAAATGAAAAATAAAGTCTTAATTCTCGGTCCGATTGTTCGGCTCGAGAATAGTGGTGCAGCCGAATCTCTATCCTAAATGATTCTTTATACAAATAAGAAGAAACAAAAGAAGTTTATAAAGTTTGGCATAAGGCATTGAAAAACGTACACATCACATGGTTGTTGTCCGGGCCATTAGTTCCCCCATATCCGAGGGAGTTTTTTTGGTCAGGGATCGGTACAGGTTCGTGTCCCTTGCCAAGCCGAGCCGAAAAGATGGTGCTGCCATGACCTCTGAGCAGCCTTCTACCTCATTAACCTCTTCCCAGTATCGGATGGCGTACTGGCGAAGAGTCTCGGATTCCCTCCTTCTGAGGGTCAGCAATGATCCAATGTCTTTGGAGCGCTTACTCCCCGTAATGAATCGAGCCAAGAACTGCTTTGTCAATTCCTTCCATGACCCAATACTGTTGGGGGGAAGCGTTTCGAACCACTTCATCGCAGAGTCCCCCAAGCTCATAGGAAACACTCGGCAGAGAAACCGTTGGTCCGAATGATAGAGGGACATCATCTGCTTGTATTGCCTGACATGGGCTTCGGGATCGGACCGCCCGTTATAAGTTTTGAACCGCGGCACGACAAACTTTCTTGAAACCTCCATCTCACCGATCTCCCTCGTAAAGGGTGTTTGTATGACTTCGTCCTCGGTCTCATCCTAGACAGCCTTACCCTTTCTCCTGGAGTCTAACCGGGCTCTGAGATCAATTTCTTCCCTGACGGGATGCCTTCTGAAGTCCTTGAGTTCATCGGTAAGCCCCTTATTTCCTGGGCGTCGTGTGAATTGGGTTGAGTCCTCCTCGGATTCATCTCCCTTCCTCCGTCTAGACAAACCTCGCCGGAGGTCGTCCAGGGCCAATGGCCTTGCTTTCCTAGAATGGTTGTCATGATGATGCTCGCCGGCTCTAGGTCGCTTTGGGGCCCTAGAGCTTTCTACTTTGTTGTTTAGGTGGTTTCTTAGATCCTTCGTTTCCGCCTCCCGGGCGGGAAGCCCACGAGAAAGGAATGAATCCCTCGATCATTCGCCAAAGGCGGCAAACTCGTTGAGCCGGCTTAGGACGTTTACATTGTCCTTTTCCGGCTGTCGTAATCTATTGCCGAACTTTTCTTCAATCACCTCCGCCAGCTGACGAGCCAAGGGGGCTGATCCCCCTGACCTGATTCCCATACTGGTTTGAGGGGTAACCCCTCTTGACCGAGTAGAGGCACTTTTATTCATATCGGTGTGATCCCTTCCTCCGTGATGACAGGGAGCTTGTAACTCAAAACTCCTTTGGTGGGGGTCTTTCCCTTTCTGTCGAGTGTTCACCATGGTCACTGTTCTTTATAGAGAAAAAAACTAGGAAAACTAGTCGTTTCCCACAGACGACGCCAGATTGTGCGTGCAAGATCCTGCACAATATAAAAAACGAGAACAAATCTCTCCCTTGGTGAACTCGAGTGAGCCAATTAAGTGACCAACCACGCTGCTTGGAACAGTCTGCGAGGTCCGGTGGTAACCTGGAACGGCAACGGGAGACCCTGGGGCAGCGGAAGAATGATCCAGTAAGGCTGAAAGAGGTCCCTGGAACAAAGAAGAACAAGTTAGAAGGGCGCCGGAGTGTTTTTCGGCGAATCCCCTCCGACGATCTAGTCAGTCTTTGAGAAAGAGAGAGGAAGGAGAAAACACTAAGTGTGTATTGTAGTAAAGAGTTTTTTGTTGCATACCCCTCTTGCCTTTTGCAAGGAGTATTTATACCTCAAAAGCTAATGATTGCTGTCAGTGTAGTCAGTAGGTGATCATTAGGTACAGGCAGTGTGCACACTAATTCTGATGAGGAATGTCTTCTCTTCTTAACTGCTCGGGGCCTCGAGCAATCAATGCTGGGTCATCGGGATGCCGACGGTACAATGTACTCCTCTTGGGAAGGATGCAATAAATGCTCTGTATTAAGAGCATTTATTGCCTTTCATTTCCGAGCCTTATCGCATTGAATGCGGTCTCATCAAGGGAATGGTGTAATTAATCGTTTGCTTTCCCAAGTCGCGTGTCAGCAACAATATGCGGTTTCTCTGTCTTCGATGTGATATCATATGCCACGCGTCCATCCCCCATTGGTTGTGGCCCCTGCATTCCAGTACGTTCTGACACTAATTGTGTAACACGAGGTCATGATGAATAGCCTAGGCTAATGACCTGTACGTCAATAGCTTATCCTGGAGTAGAGGAAGCGTCCAGAACGGGGTACCTCTCGGCACCGAGGAAAGGCCATCTCGGAACCGAGAGAGGTATACCGACCGAGGTACCATATCAAACCGAGGCTACGTGTTGGTTGTAACTCGTACTGAATACCATGATCTTATATGACGAGTACCTCGGGGGCGAGGACCAATTGTGCGCTGATGGTACTTGATCTTAACAACAGTATTTTGATAAATACCGAGAACACGTGTCTTTATCATGGAGTATTTCAGAAAAGTCCCATCAAAAAGAAGTTTATAAAGTTTGGCATAAGGCATTGAAAAACGTACACATCACATGGTTGTTGTGACGGAAAGAAAACAATGAAAGAAACAGATTGGACCCAAAAGTTTACTTATTGAGAAAAAAAGGTGTAGCGTGCTAAATATCATTGTAAAAGACAAAAAATCCCCACCTCGCCGACCTCCGTCACTCAGTTGAACCACAGGGAAGAAAACAAAGAGACACAAGTGTGTCAGTATGACCATGACTCCCCAACCCTCCTATCATTTTTGGTGGTTCTAATCATTTGAAGATCCGAATAGTTTAAACTTGGCTTAATTTTTGCTCGTTCAAATATCAACGAGAGCTAATCAGATGATTCTGTAGTTGAGTTTAATCTTTAGGTCTTAGGTTAGAATTTATTTTCATACTATACCATGCTCTAACTCAATTTAAATTACGGTGATTACTTGATGAGGTTGAGAAAATAGTTACTTCAACACCGTGTAATAAAAAAAATCAATGGGAGCCAAGTTAATAATACTACTTATAGAAGAATACCCACTATACGGCACATAGGATAGTGATAAAAGAATCGGTAAGGCTAGCTGTAACAGCTCAACTTGCTATGAGAAGATTGCCCTTTTCATAAGTTGTCAGGTCTTTGGATGTTTCACAAATTAAATTGGTGGAACTTCAGCAGGGGTACATCTTATTAGGTGAAAGTGAGTTTTCTTTATGCAGTTCTTTGCCTGGGAAAAATCAGAGTTAGTGAATTTATTCACATTTTCTGAGGCTGTATCTATATAAAACTGACCATGAACCTTCAATTTTTCTTGCAGATTATTGTCGCTAGACATGGCAGTCCAGGAGTCTTTCGAACTGGAAAATGGTTCTGTTGAAGACGATAACCTGCAGTATGAGAATGAAATAAGAACTGGTAAAGCCTTTCCAGGATCAAATTGAATTCATATATTACATTAAAATCATGGGTATAATGTGTAAATGTTTCTTCACTAGGAACTGTGTGGACCGGTATTGCTCATATCATCACCGCCGTGATTGGAGCTGGTGTCCTCTCTCTTGGGTGGAGCACTGCACAACTGGGTTGGATTGCCGGACCAGTTGTTTTGCCGTGTTTTGCAGTTGTCACATACATATCGGCCTCTCTCGTATCGGACTGTTACAGGTCACCTGACCCTGTAACTGGAACGCGAAACCCGTCTTACATGGGTGCTGTTAGAGTTATTCTTGGTAGTAACTAGTAACAGACCCATCTCCCTCCTCTGTGACATTCCACTGTTAATTTTTTTTTTTTTTTTGTAATCTTCAATTTGGGACTTTTTTCTCAAGACGATTTGGTCTGTTATGGATTCTGACTTGCTTAACTGATTCTCCAGGTAGGAAACATGCATGGCTCTGTGGTTTTCTTCAGTATATTAGCTTTTTTATGGGGTTGGTATTGCTGATGTAATTACTACTTCAACCTGCATGAGGTACTTCTCTTGTTGAATCCTCTAGTTCATATATTTTTTTGCTTACAAAATTTTACAAAATTGATATATCAGTTAGTGTATTTTTTTTTTAAATATTTTATTTTATATATTTTTTTACAATTATATCTAATTTGATATACCAACTTCAAAAAGACTCTAGTCTTAATCCTCGGTCCGAGTGTTCGGTTCAAGAATAGAGGTGTAGTCGAATCTCTATCCTAAATGATTCTCTATACAAATAAGAAGAAACCAAAGAAGATTATAAAGTTTGGCATAAAGCAGTGAAAAACATACACATGACATGGTTGTTGTGACGGAAAGAAAACAATGAAAGAAACAGATTGGACCCAAAAGTTTATTTATTGAGAAAAAAAGGTGTAGCCTTTTAACGTTGACGGAGACTTTTTTTTTTTTTGAACAAGTTGACGGGGACTTTGAGAGTGCTAAATATCACTGTAAAAAGGCAAATATTGCCCGTTAAAACGGGCTGACAAGGCACATGCATTTGCACCCAGTTCTGGTCCGGATAAGACACCTCTCCCCCAACCTCCCCAATCCCCATCACTCAGTTGAACCGCAAGGAAGAAAACAAAGAGACAGGTTTCTCATATGACCATGCCTCCCAACCTCCTATCATTTTTTGTGGTTCTAATCACCTGAAAATCTGAATAGTTTAAACCCGGCTCAATTTTAGCTCGTTCAAATATCAACGAGAGCCAATCATCAGGTGATTCAGTTGTTGAGTTTAATTTTAGTAATTTAAACATCTCACGTTGAATTTATTCTCATTTTATATCATGCTCTAACTCAATACAAATTACGGTAATTAACTGGTGAGGTCAAGGAAATAGTTGCTTCAACACCATGTAATAAAAAAAATCAATGAGAGCCAAGTTAATAATACTACTTATAGAAGAATACCCACTATAAGGCACATAGGATAGTGATAAGAAAACGGTAAGGCTAGCTGTAACAGCTAAATTTGCTATGAGAAGATTGCCCTTTTCACAAGTTGTTAGGTCTTTGGATGTTTCACAAATTAAGTTGGTGGAACTTCAGCAGGGGTACATCTTATTAGGTGAAAGTGAGTTTTCTTTATGCAGTTCCCTGCCTGGGAAAAATCATAGTAAGTGAATTTATTCACATTTTCTGAGGCTGTATCTATATAAAACTGACCATGAACCTTCAATTTTTCTTGCAGATTATAGTCGCTAGACATGCTAGTCCAGGAGTCTTTCGAACTGGAAAATGGTTCTGTTGAAGACGATAACCTGCAGTATGAGAATGAAATAAGAACTGGTAAAGCCTTTCCAGGATCAAATTGAATTCATATATTACATTAAAATCATGGGTCTAATGTGTAAATGTTTCTTCACTAGGAACTGTGTGGACCGGTATTGCTCATATCATCACCGCCGTGATTGGAGCTGGTGTCCTCTCTCTTGCGTGGAGCACTGCACAACTGGGGTGGATTGCCGGACCAGGTGTTTTGCTGTGTTTTGCAGTTGTCACGTACATATCGGCCTCCCTCATATCTGACTGTTACAGGTCACCTGACCCTGTAACTGGAACACGAAACCCGTCTTACATGGATGCTGTTAGAGTTATTCTTGGTAGTAACTAGTAACAGACCCATCTTCCTCCTCTGACATTCCACTGTTAATTTTTTTTTTTTTGTAATCCTCAATTTGGGACTTTTTTCTCACGATGGTTTGGTCTGTTATGGATTCTGACTTGCTTAACTGATTCTCCAGGTAGGAAACATGCATGGTTCTGTGGTTTTCTTCAGTATATTAGCTTTTATGGGGTTGGTATTGCTTATGTAATTACTACTTCAACCTGCATGAGGTACTTCTCTTGTTGAATCCCCTAGTTCATATAGCTTCTTGCTTACAAGATGAGGTGTTGTAACCCTCCCCCCCCCCCCCCCTTAAAAAAAAGTTCCATAGATTATACATGCATCAGTGTGATTATTTTGCTTCTGCAATTGATGCAGAGCAATTCAGAAATCAAACTGTTACCACAAGAAGGGGCACAAGGCTAACTGTGCATATGGGGATCACATCTTTATGCTGCTATTTGGAGTTATTCAGATTGTACTGTCTCAGATACCAGATATTCATGACATGGCTTGGCTGTCTATTGTTGCCGCTATCATGTCCTTCTCTTATGCTTTTATCGGATTAGGACTTGGGTTTTCCAAAGTAGTTGGTATGAAGTTTTTTTATCTCAAAAATGTGAATTTAATAGTCTTTTAAATATAGATGAAAAACCTAAAACTCTCAGTCAATTTGATCAATATATTTTGGGTTATTCCCTCAAGGGAAGCTAAAGAAAATGTTGGTTGTGTAGTACCAAACAGAGCAGCCATCTATATTTGTTGTCGTTTATCTATCCCCCAAGTCATTTTGAAAGAGAAATCTAATATGCTTCACGGTAATCTGTATCTCGTATGGCAGAAAATGAGAACATTCAGGGGAGCATTAGAGGTGTCCCGACTGATACTGTAGCTCAGAAGATATGGTTAATTTTGCAGGCAGTTGGGGACATAGCTTTTGCATATCCATATTCAATTATTCTACTAGAAATACAGGTGCGAACTCTGTCCTTATTTATGAACAAAGTAAGTTTCTTAATCAACCTGTAAATATAAATTCAGCCAGCAGTGTCTGGTAAAAAGAAAAAAAAAAAAAATTGTACAACACATTTTTACAGTAAAATGAAATGTGATTTTTGTGGAAGGAAGGATACTATGAAGTCCCCTCCACCCGAGAACCAGACCATAAAGAAGGCTTCAATGGGTGCAATTCTGATCACCACTTTCTTCTACCTCTGCTGTGGATGCTTTGGATATGCAGCCTTTGGGAACAATACACCAGGAAACCTCTTGACTGGATTCGGATTCTTTGAGCCCTTCTGGCTTGTCGACTTTGCCAATGCTTGCGTTGTTCTACATCTAATCGGAGCATATCAGGTGCTACTATACAATTTCACATGAAATATTCAAATATGTCAGTTTGATTGGCCTCTTTATAAGCACAAAGATCATGACTAATATGAAATTTTTTTGCTTGTTTAGATATTTAGTCAGCCGGTGTTTGCATTTGCAGAAAGATGGTTTAGTGGGATGTTCCCAAACAGTGGATTTATGAACAACTTCTACCCCTTCAAAATTCCATTACTGCCTGCTTTTCAGCTGAATCCCTTCAGGCTGTGCTTCAGAACTGCATATGTTATATCGACGACCGGACTTGGACTGGTCTTCCCCTATTTCAACGAAATCATAGGAGTTTTGGGGGCCATTGGCTTTTGGCCCTTGGCTATATATTTCCCTGTGAAAATGTATTTTGTGCAAAGAAAGATTGGGGCTTGGACAAGAAACTGGGTGGTTCTTTGGATTTTCAGCCTTGTATGCTTGCTTGTGTCAATTGTGGCCTTAGTTGGATCAGTTGAAGGACTGATAAGCGCAAAGTTGAAGTAAAATATTCGTGCTAAGTTGTAGGTTTGCGGGTTTGAGATTTACTAGTTGTACCGCAAGCAGGAATTATTACTCTACTTGATTCAAGACAATAAAGTCTTATACCCAATTATTTGGAGTCGACTAAAAAAAATCATGTTTTTCCTTTTTTTTTTTTTTTTGCTTGTAAAACAAGAAGTACACGATAAAGAAGTATAAATACCAAAAAAAAATCAGCAAGTAGAAGAACTACAGAGAAGCACTACTAGGTTCCTGAATCAGCTCAATATCATTGAGCAATGCACCCTCACTGCTTGTGGGATCTCTGATTCTTTAATGGCAACAGCACGCTTTACAGAGACTCCCCATTTGGCCAGTGTGTGGGCAGCTTTGTTAGAGTCCCTATATGTATGAATCAGACACCAATCTGGATGTAATGATACTATGCGTGCAGGATCTTGCATAATATACATACAAGAACAGATCTCTTACGTAATAAACACGAGTCAATCAATCGAATGGTCAGCCTTGTTATTTGGAACAGTGTGAGATCCGGTGGCAGCCTAGAACGGTAATGGGTGACTTTTGTGGGTCATCGGAGTGGTCCAGTAAGTCTAAGGGAGGTTCCTGAAACAGAGAAAAACGAGTTAGGAGGGCGCCGGAGTGTTTTTCGGCGTATCCCCTCCGACGATCAAGTTAGTTCTTTGGGAGAGGGGAAGAAGAAAACACTGTGTATAGGTTTGAGAAAAGGTTTTGGCGTACCGTCTTGCCTTTTGTGAGGAGTATTTATACCTTCAAAACTCATGATTGCTGTCAGTGTGGTCAATAAGTGATTATTAGAGGTGGGTAACGTGCATACTTGTCTTCAGGAGAAATGACCTCTTTCTTAACTGCTCGGGATCCCGAGCAACCAATGCATCACCCTCGGTCTGTCGAACGTTTAATGACCCTCACTCGGCAGGGATGTATTAAATGCTCAGTCACAAGAGCATTTATTGTCTTTCACTTCCTCGTCATTACGCATTAAATGTTGTCTCATCAAGGAAAAGGTGCATTAAATACTTGCTTTCTCAAGTCGTGTGTTAGCAAGGGCATTCTGGTCTTTTTGTCCCTAAACTGACACAGTATGCCATGCGCCGGCTCCCCTTTGGTTGAGTCCTCTGCTTTCCCGTGCATTCTGACACCATCCAGGTAGGACCAGGTCATAATGGCTAATCTAAACTAGCCCAGGCTGATGTCCTGTCTATCAACAACCTTGCAGGAACAGAATGCCGATGTAGTGCATACACCTCGGTGCCGAGGGCTTAGTACGGTTAGGGACCGACGTAACCCCTATTCAATCGAGGAATACGTGTCAAACCCCCCGTGCATACTGGCGTCGTAGGTCCTTATGCTTAGTACCCTCCTCGGGGGAAGGGGGATCATGGCCCCGACAAGCACCTGTCATGACCACAGCAGAGAGTATTTTCCTTGACGCCGAGTATACGTGTTGCTTATCTTGGAGTGCCTGGAAATATCCCATCAATTGCCCCTAGCTTTCGATCTTCTGATACCGAGGACACGCGTCGTAAGGAGACGAAGGGTTTTGCAACTACCTCAACCACTTTATCATTGCCTCTAGCCGCTTTCCCCTGCTTAGGAGGTCGTGCGCATTAAATGCGCCTTTTCGTGCTTCGTGTCCAATGATGGGGATGGGTACTATATATAAATGGGCTTCCTCTCTCCCTCTCTCATTTTGCCATTTCAAACTTCTTCAGAGAGCCCTTGCCTGAAATCTCGCCGGAGACCTATTTCCTTTCGTTGTCTACTGCCCAATCTTTCACCGGAGTCTTAAGGCTAGCAAACCCATCCTTGCTTTTGAACATCCTGGAGGGAGGAATCACTTCAAGTTTTCAAGAAAAACTTTTGTTTACGTTCTGGTGAGTCCTTGTATCTTCCCTCTCTTCGCTCTTCTGTCTCTTCCTCTTTTCTTCTTCTCGTTGTTTTTATGTTCTTTTGATTTTTCGATAACTGGGAGTGTTTCTGGTTGCCATTCTGTGACCAACCCTCGGGAAACCTCAATGGGGATCTTTGTGGAAAAACCCCTTCCTTCTTCTTCACTTTTCATCATTTTTGGAGATGCCCTGACGTCGCCATGCCCCTGAGAATCCTCAGGCCAATTCCTCGAGGTCAGGGAAGTACAAAGTGAAGGGAGGCGAACAGATTAATAGGTTTAGGGTCCAATATCGCATCCCCCCATATGTAGACATAAAGGATTATAACCCCGCTTTGCATTCTCATACTCTCGGGGCCGAGGATGAGATGCCCTTTTATACCAAAGCCATCATAGAGGGCGGAATTAGGTTCCCTCTACCCTCTCTACTTCTCCAGTTCCTCCCCCATTTTCACCTCTTCCCCGGACAGTGTTGCCTCAATGTTTTCAAGATAATAATGAGAGTCTTAGAGCTCAACAAGCGTCTCGGAGTAAATGTTGGGCTGAACAATATCCTCTTTTGCTACTCCCTCTTGAGGATCATGACTCAGCAAAACTTCTATCTCAAAACTAGAGACTCATCTATGTACCTCGTAACTCACCTTCTTGACTCGGACAAGGGGTACAAGGATGACCTACTGATCTTTAAGGGATCCTGGTAGAGGGGTGCTGGTCCCGAGTATAACAGTCTGTTATGTCCTTTGGAATGGAGAACGACAAGTACGTCGGCTTCTTCGAGTCTATTATTTTGTTCTTGAGATTTTTTAGAAGTGTTCATAACTCCCTCTCCTCTCTTTTTTTGTGTGCAGACGTCTCCGCTCGGGAAACAGCTTTTCCACTTCAGTCCTTGGTGAACTTTGCCGACCTCGTCACTGTTTGGAGATTTGTTGGCGACGACGGGTTTGGCCGGGCTGCTCACATTCTTCTGAACTACACTCTCGGATATAAAAGCATCTCACAGCTCCCCTAGCCTTTCGAGCCTTCGCGGTGGTCTGAACTCTTCGATCAGGCTGCGCAACAAAAGGTCGAGGAGAACTTGGAGGAAGACCCCGACCGGGCTACATAGGCGGAAGTAAAGGGTGTTGTTGAAGTTAAGGAGTTCGCGGCCAGAGAGGCTTTGGTTCCTTCGCACACCGAAGTGGGGACTTCGGGGAGAGACTCGTGGCCTGACTTCCAAATCCTGCAGTCCCTAGATGAGGAGGACGCCCTCGAGGTAGCCATGTTGAACACGCTTCGCATAGATCTGGGGTTCCTGAGGCAGAGGCAGCCCTCGCTGCCGGGAGGGGGCGAGGGTCAACCAGCGGGGCCCCATCAACAAGGATCAGTGCCACCCCACCTTCAAGAGTCATTGGTCGGGGTCAAGTGCGCGACCAAGATCCTCAGGTCGAGGAGGAGAGAAGAATCAAATAAAGGCATGATGGCCTGGGTAGGGGATCCAGGGCCCCCTCCGCTTAGTAGCAAAGCGGGAGGTGTCGTAGGTTACCTTCTCCACCTCAGCAGCAACAGCAACAACAGAGGCCACAACAACAGCATCAGCAACAGAGACAACAACAACAACAGCAGCAGAGGCAGACTCCACCTCCCCCTCCGCAGATGGTGAAAGCCGCAGAGTGGAGCCCTCGGGCCACTGATCACATGAACCGGGTGATCAGGGTCGATGACTCAATTTTGCAGGACCCCCATGTTGCCAACGTAGTGGGTGAGACGCTGCACTTCGAGGCCGACATGGTGGCTCACAGGGGGCGATCAACGAACGCATTGTTCGCTCCATCATTCAGAATTCTCTGGTGGTAAGTTCATCTTCGCTTCAGTCTTTTCTAGTCGCGTTACTTTTTATTGACAAGTCCTTTCCTTCGCAGGCCACCCAACAGATTTCCATAATCGCTGCACGATATCATACAGCTAGGATGGACCTCCAGCGGATCCAAGAGTAGAAGGAAGAGGCCGAGGGAGCCTTGACCAGTGCTAAGGAGGATGTAGCTGCCAGGGATTCCACCTTCGCGGGACAGGCTGCTCAGATTGAGCAACTCCTCAAGGACGGCAAATTGGTGAAGGTCGGCGCTGAAAAGCTAAGTGCTGCCTTGGCCGATGCTGAAGAGAGGATTACACAACAGACGCAACGACTCTCTGCGGTAGAGGAGAGGGCTATAGGTTCAGAGGAGAGATGTCTGGTTCTGACCCAGGAGTTGGACAGGATCAGGGCTAAGGCGGAGAACAGGAAGTCTGAGGAACAACTCCGAGAGGAGTTCGTCGAAGACGTGCTGCCTGCCCTCGAGGAAAATAACAAGAAGTTCTTCAAGAAAGAGTGGGACGAAGCACTCTGGTCTGCTGGGGTCCTTCCAGATTCTCCACTCTTCTAGATGCACAACTACATGCAATCAATAGAGATAGAGCAGGCCGAGGCTGAGATTGCTGCCGAGGGTGCGACTCCATCGCCGATGTAAGTTTTGGCAGACCCGCCTGAGGCGGTAATTTTGGATCTATCCGACGAGGTTCTGCCGGACCTAGCCCTGACCACAATATTCCTCAGACTCTCCCTGTTGCTAATTCACTCCTAGCTTTGCCTGCTCCCGAAGCTGCTCAACCCTTTTGCACTGATTCGCCTTACAGCGATATGTTGGAGATGCCTGGGGCCAAATGAAGACTTTTTGCCCCCCCCCCCTTTTTTTTTTTTTTGAACTGTACTCATTTTCTTCTTTTTGTAGCTCTTGGGGACGCAAAACCCCTCTTTTGAAATCAAGCTTTTTTATGAGTACTTGCATTTTCTTACGTGTATTCTCTTTTCTCTTTTTAACGACCTTGATATCCCTAACACCTGGAGAGTTATTCGGCCCGCCCGCCCGATTGGTTCAGCTTCATCATTGCTAGGGACCGTACGTATCCGCGAGGGCTCACCCTTCGTGAAAGTTTATTCGTACTCTTTATTTCGAGGCACAAGTCTTTGAACTTTATATCCAGGGTCTTACCCTCCTAGGGGGCTTACCCCTTGTTTTTCCTTCAGGGGCAGGAGTCTTTGAACTCTGTCCCTAGGGCCTTATCCTTCTATGAGGCTTGCTCCTTATTTTTCCTTCGAGGGCAGGAGTCCTTGAATTCTGTCCCCAAGGCCTTACCCTTCCAAGAGGCTTGCTCCTTTTTTTCCTTCAGGGGCAAGAGTCATTGAACTCTGTCCCCAGGGTCTTACCCTTCTAGGAGGCTTGCTCCTATTTTT